TTCACTTTTACAGTAATAAAACCAAAGATGAAGAACCACTTTAAAGAGGGCCAAGGAACTGAAAAGGATTTTTTAAAAGGGACAGAAATTTTCAAAAAATTTAGGGCTATAATATGGGCACATGAGAAACTGATACTGGAGCACTAATTTTGCTGACTTTTTTTTTTTTTAAGTAGCAAGAAATCATCATTAGGCATTAAATGATCACAGCAGAAAGTTTTTTGCTTCTCTGAACTGCTTTCTAATTCAGCCTGAACAGATGACTTTGCATCCACCCTCGTTTTGCAAAGCACAAAGCACACCTGCCCTTAAAATGAATGCATCAATAAATTTCATCCTTTGATCTCTTATCACATTGTGTTTCAAAACATCAAGAGTCTGAAGCTGTGTCTTGAATAGTGGCCAAACCTCAAAAAACACAGCTCTGAGTTTGATCCTGAGCCCATAAAATCTGAAGACTTGCAATCTCAGCCACAAGTCTTTTTTTTTTTAACTTCATAATAATATGCAGAAGTGGTTCTTTTTTATCAGCAATATTAAGGTTTAAAGGATTAGGTTAAAATTTTATGGCTATAAAGGAATGAGATTTTCTTTTTTAAACCATTTTAACTCCAAGATCTCCCTCCTAACTAGCCCGTAGTCACATAACAGTAGGATCCTCTAGCACTTTCTGCATCCCGATGGGCCACTTTGCTCTGGGTTCCTGAAGGAGAAATGGGCTTGTCGTATAGGTTCCCAAAGCAGTCCCTGCTACCCAAAAAAGCCACTGCCATGGCCACCATCACCGCTGTCCACTCTGGATAAACCCCTGCTCCAAGCTCCTCTCAAGCCTGTTGATGGTCTTGCCTCCTAAAACTAGTTATTTCCTCAACACTGTTTACCCCAAGTCTAGAAAACTGCCCCTATTCCTTCACGCAACATATACTATTAGTACTTAGTTCTTTTATCAAAGGTTTAAGGGTAACAAAGGGTAATTATAGTAGAGTGCAGAAACAATCTCGAATCCTATGAATTGCTATTATTAAAGGCTTATCAGTGGTTTCTCTCTCTCTTTTTTTTTTTTAGAGAAGATTTATTTATTCATTTAAGAGAGAGAGGGAGAGCCAGTGTGAGCAGGGGGAAGGGCAGCGGAAGAGGGGGACAAGTAGACTCCCTTCCAGGACCTTGAGATCATGATCTGAGACGAAATCAAAAGTCGGACGCTCAACCAACTGAGCCAACCAGGTGCCCCGGGTTTTCAGCATTCCTGATCATCTTTCTCCTTAAACCCCATCCTCTATCATGGTTCTGGAGTCTTTCCCTCACCCCCAAACTTTTTCCTACTTCTCTTCTATTTCCTACTCCTACCAATCTTAGTCAAGGAGAGGACATCTCTCAAATTTCTGTTACTTTATTCTGCAAAGGGAATCTAAGCTCTTCTCTTTCATTCTTTTCCTTCCAGACACTGCCTAGAGACCTAACCTACAACTAACAAAAATCCCATCTAGGTGTCCTCTAAACAAAAATCAATTTTTCTCTGTAAGGAATTCTCCATCCTTTTAGGTTATCCAGCAAAAGCTACAGCCCATCCCTAAATAATATTTTCTTTTCTTCCTGTTATAAACACATACCAGAAATTTTACAGTCAAATGACTCTTGTACTTTCCAACAAACCCCCAGGAGAGCCTATTCACTTACAAAATGATTATTGTCACTCTTGAACTATCTGTACACAATTTACTAATTCCTCAAGAAAAGTGGCTTACTGCTGTGCTCAGAATACTTTCTTTTGGTCTAATTTCCTTACTTCTGCTTCAATCTCTCATTCTCATTCATTCATTCATTCACTCAACCAACCAATGTACATGGCACTAGATGTGGGAAAGTGGATCCTAGTATTCAAGATAATTTCAATCCAGAGGGGGCTGTAACCAGTTCTACCTATGAACCAAGACACAAGGAGGGCAGAGTTCCGTGTGATTAGACTGAGTTTTAAAATTCGGATGAATTTTATCAGGTTGTCATAGCTTCCATGGATACTTTAGGCTTGAGATGGAAAGTTGCTATTAGCAGGCTAACCATTAGGTCCTCCAGTCCACAGAGATACACAGCCCATTTCTACAAGGAGGCTAATAATACTGCCTCGTTTCTGAAAATACTGTATGTAGCCAGGGGAACAGAGTTGTGCTCAATTTTAACTGCTTTTCATTTATTCATTCAACTAAGAAGTATTTATAAGTGTCTACTTTTTAGGGGCTTGAGAAGGACAGTTGCATCTAATGAATATCACATTCACTTATAACTATGTTCTAGGCATCATGTTAGATCAATGAACAAAGTCAAGAATTGTCTGATCAATTGTACTTCAATAAGGTCAAAAACAGAAAGAACTGTCTGCTTTTTTTATTACCAAAATAACATCTTCATATTGATAGTTTTGAGTCAACGGTAAAAAATTATATCCAGAATATTATTTTGGAGAGGGACACGTATAGAACGCATTTTATAGAGAAAATGGAAAGTAATCCACAAAAGTAATTTATTTGACTTTCTACTTTTGAAGAATTAATCTTCAGTTACATGGAAAATGAAAATATTCAGAAAGTTCTTTCCCTGAGAATTCCAGAGAGTAAAAGTTTACTTAATAACATATAAGTCAACTTTTAGGCAATTGAATGTCTTTTTTAAAATATTTATTTATTTATTTATTCATGAGAAACACACAGAGAGAGAAAGGCAGAGACACAGGCAGAGGGAGGAGCACGCTCCACACAGGAAGCCTGACGTGGGACTCGATCCCACGTCTCCAGGATCACGCCCTGGGTTGAAGGCGGCGCTAAACCACTGAGCCATCTGGGCTGCCCTGGCAATTGAATGTCTTAATTCAAAAATAACTATTAAAGTAAATTTACTCTCTAAATTTATTTACTTTCAGTATCTGTGTAAAATAAGGGAAACTTGCACAAGTATTTCCTATTGTTCCTCTTTTGTTATCTAAGCCAATGTTAAGTAAAGTTGTAAGGTGCCCAAAGTCTGTCTTGATGTACTCCTACCTCCCTAATTCTTGGGCAGTACTTTGAACCTATACTGTTCTGTGGCCGCTCAAGACTTCCCTAGTTCACTGGGCCTGATGACATCTCATTCCTGACTCACTCTTCAAAACATAACCATCCTTGGTCATATTCCTTCTAGCATCCAACTGAAAATTGGGCTAATCTCATAAACCAACTCAGGCTAATATATTAATTAATGATAATAATAGCTTAATACATTTCTGCTTTAAGGGAAATGTGCAAAACAAGAAGATTTATAGAAATATAAGACTGTAATCCAAGAATAGGGAGTATTTTCCCCATTTATGGTTACTGACCAACCAAATATAAAATTAAAGTAATAAACAAACAAAAAAAACCCCAAGGGTAATAACAAAAATAAACCAGTTTACATTTTAGTTTGAAAAAAGGAGGAAAATGAGAATATACTACCTGACATTTGTGTATAGCCTGCACATGTATTTATTTTTCTTACGTAGCTATATATATATATATATATATATACATGTTTTTTAATCCAGTTTAATATTTAAAACAGTGATGTTAGGTTCATACTTTTCCTATTTTAGAGAGAACAAAAGTTAGTCTCCAAGAGGTTACATTACTGACTATCAAATAGCACAGCAGGGACTCTGAACAATTCTAATGCCAAATATTTTTCCACTATGCACAACTCTTGCAAGGGTTCATGATATCTCATTTGAAACCAAATAAAAGAAACTTGAAAATACACAGATGAAAGGATAAAACTACACTCCATTCTGCATACGGCCAGTTTAAAAAGTAAGGAGTAAGATGGGGAGGGAGAGTCAGCAAGCCAGGCAAGAGGAAAGAATTGGAAAAGAGATTATTGAGTAGAAATTGTCAAAGATAGAAACAGGTAAGAGAGGGAAAGAAAGAAAAAAACAGGTGTGCCTGAGAGGAAGGATGAGTTGAAGTCTGGACCACCTGGGGTCCTCCGCTCAGTGCTGTGTCCAGCCAACACACCTGGCTACACATCTCCAGAGTGGTCTTGCACTGCATTCCTTGTTCTTGGCTCGAGGCAGCCACAAATCTTCCTCCATTTAAGCTGTCCAAAGAGCTGTGGGCTAGTATTTCCACAGATGCCCCAGAGCCCTGGCCTTATCTTGGTCTAATCACTGTAATCACCATAATTAGTTTTCTTTTCACTTTGTTGGTGATGAAACTAAAAGCTGTTTTAGAAATCTGCATTTTCTTGCATCTCTGAGAATCAATGAAAACCCAAGCACCTGGTATGACCGTAGTAACGAAACAACAAACAAATCAAAATCAAGACTTCCATCGCTGAAATGGCCAATGGCCAAACTTCCCTTATGTACATGCTGTTTACTGGAAAACCACTGTTCTCAAATATACCACAGATTAATAAAATGCCTACACCTGTTCACCATCCACGTTTCTAAGTTTTTGTTTCATTTACTTCACTTATTATTCAGGTAAATTGGGCATAACTGCTTTCAAAATGAGGTAAGTATCCTACATTGCTAGCATTTGACAAACTTCTGAAATCATTGGTATAATATTTGAATTAAATGAACAGGCCTGAGAGATACTGAGTTTGAATCCCAGCTTAGGCTCTGAGTAACTTGACTGTGCAAATTACTTCATATCTTGGATCTTTAGGTTCTATATCTATAAAATGAAGCTGATCACATAGGACCAATCACACAGGTGGTTCAAAGAAAGAAACTCAGAGATGAGTGCGTGGAACTGTACGACATGGAGTAAGCACTCAATGTTATCTCTTCTTATTGCCACCAACCTTGCTCCAGAAAATTTAACCTATAAGATTTCTTCTTACTTTATTAAGGAAATTTGAGAATTTTTAGAAAAATACTGGGCCTTTATATAGTATATGAACAGTAATAATAGGAAGTCAAAGTCAACTCTTTATGATTATAAGCACTACGCTTGAACAGAAGTGTCATCCTTTTACAGATGGGTTACCTCGAAGTCTATGAGCTGTAGGTCAGCAATGAGCGTCACCAGCAGCCCACTATTGTAGAGCTCTTGTGCAAGCTGGGCCACAGCTTCTGTGGGGGGCTCCTTGTCATTTGTGCCACATAGAATCTCTTTCATTGCTTGCAGGGATTTCGACACTTCCTCTGAAGCCTGGTGACCAGAAAATAGGCTCACAGTTAAGAGGAATGAAAATTTTCAAGCCACAGACAAACAAACAAACAAAGAAAACCCACCTCATGGATTGCTTATTTACGAACAAGGAACACTGTACAGTTACAAGCAAACAAAAAAACCTGTTTTGCCGACATTGCTTTTCTTATTTTGGAAAAATGTCGCAAAAATTTATTTATATAAAAAATCTCTAGTCGTTCTATTGGTCAACATAATTGAAACACTCTTTCTTTAAAACACACTCAGACATAGTCTAACTAATCTAGTCATTATAAATTTTACTCTTAAAAATCAAAATGAGGGGATCCCTGGATGGCTCAGCGGTTTAGCGCCTGCCTTCTGCCCAGGGCATGGTCCTGGAGTTCCAGGATCGAGTCTCACGTCAGGCTCCCTGCATGGAGCCTGCTTCTCCCTCTGCCTATGTCTCTGCCTCTCTCTCTCTCTCTCTCATGAATAAATGAAATCTTAAAAAAAATCAAAATGTTTTGAAGACTTATCAGTTAGCTACTGTTTATTAAAAGCATTTGTTAAAGTTTTTCAACAAATTCCTATGACTGATTTTTTAATGGACTATGTAATCAAACTGAATTGTCAAACACACAATCAAATTATCAAAACTCACTAAACTTTGTTAATCTACTTGTCTCTCCCACATGATCATTACTTTTTTTTGCTCTCTATGAAACTTAAAAACAACAACAACAAAAAACTTCTTTATATTGTAAAGAGTAATAAGGACATCCACAGAAGTAGAAAGTAGATTAGTGGGTACTAAGGCCTGGGGAGGTGACAATGAGGAATGACTCCTAACGGCTATAGAATTTCTTTTGGGGGTGGTGAAAATATTCTTGGATTAGATACTGGTGATGGTGGTAAAACCTTGTGAGAATACTAAAAATCACTGACTTGTGCACTTTAAAGAGGCAAATTCTATGGTATTTACTTACTCAATTTTACTATCTATCAGGTGATCTTATTTACTTACTCAATATTTATTTACTCAATAAATCTTTTTAAAATTAATACAGGTGGGATCCCTGGGTGGCGCAGCGGTTTGGCGCCTGCCTTTGGCCCAGGGCGCGATCCTGGAGACCCGGGATCGAGTCCCACGTCGGGCTCCCGGTGCATGGAGCCTGCTTCTCCCTCTGACTGTGTCTCTGCCTCTCTCTCTCTCATTCTATGTGACTATCATAAATAAATTAAAAAAAAAATTAAAAAAAAATTAAAAAAAAAATTAATACAGGTGAGCAAAAGAGAACAGGCCAAAAGGTTTACAATTTGATCTGCTGAATATTTTTAAAGAAATATAGTTTTATTACTTTCAAGTATAGATCTGTAATCATTATAACTAAATATGGGAATAAAGAGAATAAGACATATTAAATAAAAAGAATTCATAGTAGCATGACACTACTGAAAAAAAAACAAACAATTTCCAGATACATCTTACATCTTACGATCTGACTGAAACAATCATTAATTAATTAAGGGTTGCAAATTTCTTTTGAGTGTGAGATTTATCCACAGAAGAGTACTTTAAATTACATGTGGTTAAGAGTAATTACAAACTGAACATCTGTGTGACCATTACATAGGTAAAGAACAGAATACTTTCAGAAACCCTGAAGTCACCTGAATGCAACCTTGCCAAACTAGAAGTATGTTTATGTTTTTTAGGACAATCGTTTCTTTACTGTGCTTTATAGTTTTCTCAACTGTTTGCATCCTGAAATGATATAGTTCAACTCTGATGTTTTTGAACTTTTTGGAATAGCACGTGTGCCCTTTTATGAGGTGCTTCTTTCACTCAGTATTATAAATGTGAGATCCATCCAGACAGCTGCACCCAGCCAGCAGTGCTTTAATTTTCATTGCTCTCAAGTATTCCACTGATAGCTGGACTACAGTTCATCAGTGCTACCTCTGATGGACGTTCGGGTTGCCTCCATTGAGGGGTCATTATGAACAGCAATCAATGTATGAACACTCTTGTACATGCATCCTGGTACACTAGTGTAAGACTGTTTCTAGAGTTAATCCTACGAGGAGAACTGCGGGGTTTTGGCACAGGCACATCTTCATATTTGACAGATGATACTAGCTGGTTTCTAAGGCAGTGACAACAATGTATGCTTTATCCTTCACCATGGATGAAAGTTCTCATTGCTCTCCACCCTCGCCAACACTTAACATCACCAGATAGTTTTCATTTTTGCCAAGACAGCAGGTGTGTAATATGAATGTATGTGGTTTTAATTGGCCTGTTCCTGAGTAATGAAAATGAGTATCTTTTTATGGTTTTTTCTGTCTTTTGCCATTTATATTTACTCTTTTATGAAGGTCATATCTTCTTTCTAATTGAGCCAATACAAATATTGTATAATTGTAATTCAATATCGTAAGTATGCAAAAATTAAAAATACATTCTACATCTCTTATAAGATGTAGGACAAAAAATATATTTCTGCCTCACTAAAGAATACAAGATCATTTATACACTTGGATGGAAAGATACTAAATAATATTTATTTTATAGATCTCTTGTCTTGCCATAAACTAACCAGTCACTTTAGAGAGAAATTGAGTATGAAGGATCCAACATCCCTTTGAAGGAATAAAATACTAGGAAAAAAATTTTACCTATGAGGAAAGCCTGTTTGGTGGGACCTTCAAAAAATGTTATAATGAGGTTGTACCATCGTAGATACCATCAGGTGATCTTTAAATAAGAATGTTCTATCCTTCAGGTCAGTATAACATTATGTACCAGTGTAACGCCTTAGATTTTTAAGCTCTGTAGTCTAGAGGGATCCAAGTTTGATCAGAGGCTCAAGATAGTGAACCAAGAGTTCAAGGCAACAGGCTCAACAGCTGAATAAAACCTGAAATCAATTTAAATGTATTTATTGGGACCTCATGCGCACATCACAGACCATATTTGGGATCCTTTATCAAGTTTTTACATGGGTTTTTGGTTTTGGAATATATGCACTTAAATAATAATATTGTCATTTTAGTTCATACCTTGTCTGTTTTCTTGTCTTGCTTTTCCAAAATGGCCAAGTTGTCTTTCAGAACTTTCACAATTTCTGCTGGATTTTTGTGTGATTTACTAAACAAAGGCATTTTTTTCATCTATAGAAATCTCTTCTTCCAATATAGAATGCTAAAACAAATAAGCAAATAAAAATCATGAATCTAACTTCTTAAAATTTTTCCCGAAGTTTTTATTTAAATTCCAGTTAGTTAACATACAGTGTAATGTTAGTTCCCAGTGTACAATATAGTGACTCAACACTTCCATATAACACCCAGTGCTCCTCACAAGCACCCTATTTCGCCCATTCTCACATCCACCACCCCTCTGGTACCCATCAGTTTGTTCTCTATAGTTAAGAATTTGTTTCTTTGGGATGCCTGGGTGGCTCTAGCGGTTGAGTGGCTGAGCGTCTGCATTCGGCTCAGGGTGTGATCCTGGGGTCCTGGGATCGAGTCCCACATCGGGCTCCCCGCAAGAGCCTGCTTCTCCCTCTGCCTGTGTCTCTGACTCTCTCTGTCTCTCATGAATAAATAAAGTCTTAAAAAAAAAAAAAGTATCTGTTCCTTGGCTTGCCTCTCTCCCGTTCTCTTTTTTTCTCCTTTGCTCATTTGTATTGTTTCTTAAATTCCACATATGAGTGAAATCATACTGTATTTGTATTTGTCTTTGTCAGACTGACTTATTTCACTTAGCATAATACTGTCTGGATCTATCCATATTGCAGAAGGTAAGATCTCATTCTTTATAGCTGAACAATACTCCATTGTGTTTGTGTACACTATATTTATATATATATAATATAATACACTATATATATTTATATATAAAATATCTTTATCTATTCATCAATCAATGGACATCACTTAGACTGCTTCCATAATTTGGCTATCGTAGATAATGTTGCTATAAACATCTAGGTGCATGTATCCCTTTGAATTAGTTGTTTTGTATTCTTTGGGTTAATAACCAGTAGTGCAATTGCTGGAGGGTAGTTCTATTTTTACCTTTGTGAGGAACCTCCAATCTGTTTTCCAGTGTGACTATACTGGATATATACAGTTTGCAACTAATTCAACTCTTAACGTAATTGAACTGTTAAACCAAAATGTCTTAGGTGTTTTCAATAAGCTTAATTCAGTAATTTGAAACATCAATACTGATCAAACTAAAATGAGTTTCATCAAGTTTCACATCAAATTTAAATATATGTAAATATTTTAAGATAGATATTTTAAAACCTTTGCCTACAAGTTTTTACTTGAAGTTTAAAACTTTTTCTATGATGCAAATACAAAGATTAGGGAAAGAATCCCCAACAGGAAAAGAAGTAGAGAATAAGTTGATATTTAAAACTAGATTTTTAAAAATTAACTAATGAGAGTGATGCTGCCGTTGCTGCTGATGACAACAACGACAGTGACAGATAAAATAAAACATGTAAAACAAAATTGGGATTGGGATCCACATACCGTGGTAAGACAATATTTAATGCTACCCATGACAATCACAAAATTGAGATATAAAATTACTTAGAATGTTATTTATTTACTCTTCAAATATTCAGCTGGCCATACTCACTGAAGAAATGAAGACTACCATGGTGGAGGGTAAGGAGAGTGAGGGAAAGGAGTAGTAATTCTTGTTTTTGAGAACATCTATTTACATAGAACAGAGAAAGCTGAATATGGCTGTCATTACCCTACTGTAATGTAAGTATTTAGGGAGAAAATTATAATTGAAGTCTCCAGTTAGGAGAGGCATATTCATGTATTTTACAGTTATTGGCAAAAATATTTCAAATATTACAGAAACATGATACAATAAATCAAAGTCTACCATTAACCAACAGCTCAGAGATAACAAATATATCAGTTTGGTATATGTTCCTCCTGAATTTTTTCCTTTTTTAAAAAAATATTTTATTTATTAATTTAACAGAGAGAGAGAGAGTACAAGCAGGGGGAGCTGCAGAGGGAGAGGGAGAAATAGGCTCCCCACTGAGCAGGGAGCCCAATGTGGGTCTTGATCTCAAGACCCCGAGATCATGAACTGAGGTGAAGGCAGATGCTTAACTGACTGAGCTTCCCAGGTGCTTCCTGAATTTTTTCATACATGTAAAAATAAATATATTTTAAAACAAAAATAGAATAGTAAACAGTATTTTGTAACTTTTCCCCATGTTTTAATATCTTGAATATCATTCAATGAGTATACGTTTAGATCTACAATAATTTTATATAGTATTTTATTATATAGATACATCACATAATTTTTATTATGTGGCAATTTATTAAATTACTATATAATTTACTAATACCTTATTGATGGACATTTGGGTTAATTCCATTTTTCTTAATATTTTTCTTATTAACAATGATGCAATAGATCAGTGGCATAACCATGGCTATAGTTCTCAATTCCTAATTCCCCTAGATTCCTGTTTCTCAAATCTGGTTCCCTAGAACTTTTCTTTATTAATCAGCCCTACACATAAATAAATGAAATTGGGGGCATATTTAAAAGCATATATAGTATGGTAATAGGGTGGGTACCGAAACAATCATTAGGTAGTCGGACAGAGCAAGCCAACTGTTGCTTCCTCCCTGAATGATCTTGTAAACAGGATGTGATCCTCTTAAGGCTCTGTGTTCTCACCTGTAAATGGAAATGATAACATCACAAATGGGTTGTGAGGATTAAAGGTAAGCAGAGCACCTTGCACAGGGCCTTGTATAAGTAAAGTACTCTATACTGTTGAGCTGCTATTATTACAGAAAGTTCTGTGATATAATGAATGGATTATTACACAAAACAGAAAGGCATAGTAAGTGAGACATGATATTGTCTTAATTAAGTGTCCTAGACACTTCTGTCTCCTTGAGTCACCTACACCTTTTGTCTTTTAAAAAATACATATGTTTATTCTTTGAAGGTTAAATACTTAAAGTTAGAACACTTAGTTGTTTTCTTAAGGCTACATGTTTTGTGTTCTATTTCTTCATGTAGTTCTACTGCACTAAGGAAAAGATAATCGACTGTGATAATTTCAACTAAATGCTCCCTGACATCAAATTAGAGTACAAATAAGAGTATGGCATCATATATATGAGATGACATGATTTTTGTCCATTACCTATTGCTCTCTCAGTTCTCAATGTATTGAGCTAATTCTAATGCTAATTCTGGTAGTACTACAAATGTTTTCAGGACTCCCATGTTAACATGGTATTAGCCACCATTTCTGATTTGCTGTCTCCCAACTTTTTATTTGCCTGTTAATTTGTTCATTTATTCATTCACTTATTCATTGAACAATCTGAGTTAAGTCCTAAGCACGGGCACCTTCCTAAATACTTGGGATAGAGCCATGAACAAGAAAAATACAATCCTTGGTTTTTGGAGCTTACTATTAAACACAGAAAGTAAAAATTTCAGGAGTAATGGGATTATATAATAGAGGAAAGACACACAGTATAATGTCTTTTCAATATAGTACTCCTTTTCTGAATTTGTTATTTTCACATTTTAAGTGAACTTATTTACTATAATAACTGTAACATAAAATTAGTTTAATAATATTTTAAAATTTCATAGGATCATTATTACTCAATTCTGGGGTCCATGTTACAAGGGAAATCAAGACCTACATCTCAAACTATTCACTTCCAGGCCTCAATCCCCTATAAATTGCGATGAAACTCTTCTAACTATTCTGTTTTCCTCACACCATAACCAGCCCCACCCCAACCCCCCAGACTGAACACCTTCCTTCATCACCCTCAAACTCAGGGTTACCCTTAGGCTTCCTACTCCTTCGGCAACCATGCTGGTCGCTTGCATGTGCATCCACCCCAATCACATCATTTACTCTACTGGTCATTTAAAAAATGAGCCAACTGGCACTCAGTACTACCTGCTAAAAAAAATACAAGGTACTTAAAACCCCTGTCTGGTTCTGAGTTGTTAACTGATCCACTATGATTGAGAAACTATCACCCTTGTCTGGGGGTCATTTGTTCTATCTATAAAATGAGGAGGTTCTTTTTTAAAAAAAATTTAACTGTGAATTCACCTAGTCATATCACTTAACACGAATTTTTCCATTTCATTTCTGAAATACAAAAACAAATTTGCCAAATGCTTTGGGAAAATCTAGATATCTCATATTTATATTAATAGTAGTTTAGTTATCTCATTTTATTTATTGCATCCCCATGACTTATTTTTTATAACTGGAACTTTGAACTTTTTGACACCCCCACACCCATTTTATCCACCCCCACCCCTATACCTCTGGCAACCACCAATCTGACCTCTGTATCTATGAGTTTTTTTTTTTTTATTCCACTTATAAGTAAGCTTATACAAATATTTGTCTTTCTCTGACATTTCTTTTTTTTTTTAAGATTTTATTTATTTATTCATGAGAGAGAGAGAGAGAGAGAGAGGAGAGAGACAGGCAGAGGGAGAAGTAGGCTCCAAGCAGGGAGCCCGACGCAGGACTGGATCCCTGGATCCTGGAATCTCGCCCTGAGCTGGAGGCAGACGCACAACCCCTGAGCCACCCGGACTGCCCTCTCTGACTTATTTCACTGAGCATAATGCCCTCAAGGTCCATCCATATTGACAAATGGCAATATTTCATCCTTTCTTTTATGGGTTAATTGTATTTATGAGTGAATTATACATATACAAGCACATTTTCGTTATCCATTCATCTACTGATTGGCATTTGGGTTGTTTCCATTTCTTGGGAAATAATGCTGCAGTGAACATGCAGGTGCATATATCTTTTCACATCACTATTTTTGTTTTCTTTTGATAAATATCCAGAAGCAGAGCTGCTGGATCACATGATACTTCTATTTTTAATTCTTTTGAGGAACCTCCATATTGTAAGAGACGGTTCTTAAAGAGAGAGCATCGCCCTTTGAAATTAGCTAAGCTGTATACAGTGAGCTCCAGGTGAGTCAGCACTGGTCCATATCCATTCTAAATCTTTAACTCCTACTATTTATCATGGCCAAAGATAAAATACTTAAGGTAGAGAGAGAAGGAATGGCAGAGTCCTGAAAATGGAGCCTTCTGGGGATAAAAGAGTAGTAGTAATTTTCCCATAAAGTCTACCTCAGAGTTTTTAGAATATACATTATATTTCAGCAAAGCAGGAAGCAAGGGACAGGAGAAGATGCCATATAAGTCCAACAGCCTGACACTAGAGGAATGCCTCTTAGGGACTGAAAACCATGTAGGCTGTGCACATCAACATGCCCTCGAGCATAGTGCTGACGGAGGGCCATGCAGCAAACAAATATCCGTGGACTGACACTGGCCCTGTTGTATTTTTCCATTTTCAAGAGTGAGCAAACAGAATAAACAACAAATAATGTAGGCTCTATTTAAAAAAAAAAAAAAAAAAAAAGAGTAGCCCAAGAAAGAGGAGAAATGCCCTGTGGAGTTAGGAAAGGTTGCTTCCAAAATTAATTCTCTGTAGGAGACAGACAAAACTGACTTCCCCCTCCAAAAAAAGGTCTTAAACTAAAAGCTGGCCAGGACCCCTGGGTGGCTCAGTGGTTGAGTGTCTGCCTTTGGCTCAGGCCATGATCCTGGGGTCCTGGGATCGAGTCCCACATCAGGCTCCCTGCATGGAGCCTGCTTCTCCCTCTGCCTGTGTCTTTGCCTCTCTTACTGTGTCTCTCATGAATAAATAAATAAAACCTTTAAAAAATAAAATAAAAGCTGGCCAAGATGAAAGATGAAAGATAAAAAACACATACATATACACACATACACAGGTAACACCCCAAATACAGCACAGTAATCCAAATCTGCATGGAGTAGAAATGACCCCATGGAAAACTGTGAACAATTGAAAGGTAAAAAATGAGTCAGGCTACATTTATTCACTCAAAATATTTACTGAGCACCTATGTGTAATATGTATATTACAGAGATATGGGAAAGATAAAGGTTATCCTATAAAAACAGGTATTATGGGGAGGGGGAGGAAGCCAACAAGAAAAAAAAAATCTAAAAAATGAAGCTGAAGCAACAAAGATGTAACAGCTTAAGCAGAAAAAAGATCTAAAACTAGTCACTTAAAGAACTCTTCCAGTTGAGATTAATAGTAACACCCCAAATTCAATGTCTTGTGGCTTTAAAAGAAACAAACATTATACTCTCAAAGCTCATTCCTATAAAATGACCTTAACAACAACAAAGGATAAAAATCAAGTTGCCTTTGAACTTCCATAAAACTAAATGTCATCAGAACAAAGAGAAAACCTACAGAGTTCTGAAAGGGAAGGTCTATATAGCCTCATAATTAAATCTCTAGCCAACATATTTATGTGTGAACAGATTGTGCATGCTTACTAAAAATTTTATAAAAAGATGAGATGAAACCAAGCCCACAAGAGTTCAACAAAATAAATGCTGAAAATCAGAAATAATTCTTGAAAGGAAGCCTTGATATTGTTGGTAGGACATGTGGGAGGTTACGAATCTACAATTATAATTAATTCATAGGAGAATAAAAATAAGTAAGAATTCAAGTTAAAAAGGAAACCACCACCACAAAAATCTACAAGAAAAGAAGGATGAAAATAATAGCAATAGAAGCAGAAATTAACTGAATCAGAAAAGTAAAAGAAAAAAGAAAAAATCTCTGGTAGCTATTTGGTCTCTGTTTCTCCTGGTGATAGACCTGTCTGCTCTACTTCCCATCCCACCCTCCCCAAAGGGTGGGAACATGACCCAGGCATAGTCAGAGTGTTCCTTCCACTGCCCTGGCTATGGCAGTTGGCTCACAAATGGATTGTGACACCATCAAGCTAATCAAAATGCTTTAGCAGGACTTTTCCCTTGGGTATTTTAATTAAAATACATGGGGCATATAGAAGAAATAGAGAACAATATCACAAGTTCCTATGTAATTGACTACACGGCTCTAAAAACAGAAAAACAATGGAAGTCCTCTCCTTGGTACATCTCCTTGATCCCATCCTCCTCTGGCTCATGCTGATGGGAATATTACTTGGACAGTAATTTAGCAATATGGATCCAGAACCCTTAAATGTTCACAACCTCTGATTTAGTAGTAACTCTGTTTCTGGCAATCTGTCTTAACAAAATTAAACTAAAATAAGGGTTATCTTTGTAACATTTTATTTTTTTTTCTTTGTAACATTTTAAAAAACATCTTAATATCCCAGAAATTTAGGTGATTCTTACAACTGAGGGGACTTTATCCTAGTTAGCAGGGTTTTTTTCTTTCTTTCTTAGAGGTATATAGAGTATATGACTTAAGCCAGTGACTTCTTAGATTTGATGAAATGTGGTCTCTGGTTATGAAAATATTTTGCAAAGAATGTGAAATAAAGTGTAAATGTTGTTTGAAAACAGTACCCCCTTTTATAGATTTAAGAGCAAACAAAACACAAGTCCACAAAATCTATGCAAAGAAAAAATAATTTACAAAAGTTAATGGTGATTGTCTCTGGGTAATTGGCTTATGGATGCTAAATTCTTCTTTTTCTTTCAAATTTTCTGGGATTTTTTTCCCTGAACTTCGTTTAATAGGTCATGCAAATGCTTTTATAACGGAAACACCTTCCCATACATGATATTTTAATGACTAAACAACTGTGTTTTAA